ACTACTGACCAACGCTAACAGACTACCTATTGTTTAAAAGGCCCTCTGGTGGCGCAAGAAGACGGATTTTATAAAATAAAAAGCAGTTGAAACTGCATTTTTATAAATAAAAATTTGACAAACTAGTTATCGTTTTATGACGAGTAAAATTTTTTCGTCGCGTTTGCGGCTTTTAAGTAATGCATAAACCTTCCAGGCGCGAGGCCCTTCGGACCGCGAGGCATAGGCGGTGGCCTATGCCTCGCAGTCCACGTCGTCCATGCCTTACGCCGCCCTTGGTCAAAGAATTGATGTAATTTGAATATAAATTATTTATAAATACGTATATCAAGTTTTTTATTACTACGTAAAATATATTTAAGAGTTTACGACCACTGTGCTGGGTGAGACGTTGTTGAAACAAAAAAAGTTATGCATTCCAGTGCAAATCAGCAAATTCGTAAAATTTTTGTTTATTTTGAACAATCCGGATAATCGAAAATCCGGATAATGGAGGTCCGGATAATAGAGGTTCTACTGTATTTAGTTTTAATTAGTAAATGAGAAAATTGTAATTTTAATTATCAATTTATTAGTTTAATTTTAATCAAGAAAGAATTTATAAAATATTTTTTTATAGTTATTCCGAAATATATATTTATTTTAATAATGAAAATTACATTATTTAATACATTTTACAACCAAAATAAGAAGTATATATAAATATCCATTTATTATTAATTTATACATAACTTTTTTATTATATATTTCTGCTTTTATATATTGCTCATCTTAGAAGCAAACAAATTCCAATTATAATAACAAATAAAAAATGAATTCAACAACAAATTTCAATCTGTTAATGCCGTCCCCAAAATTTTTAGTAATTGTAATTATGTATAAGAAAAATGAACAATTATTCACATTTAAGGTGTAGATAACTTGAATACAAGTATTTGTAGAGCCCTAAAGACTTCCAAGTATCCAATAAATCCTTGTAATTTTCCAATAATTTTTCTAAGAACTTGTTCACATCGTCACATTTTATATTATTTTTGGCATTTTTTAGATAAGAATCGTCGATGCATTCAAAAAATTCCTCTATGCTTCTGTCTATAAAGTTATCACATTGATGAATTTCGTCTAGGACACATACAATAATTTTAATATTATTAGAAATATTTGGGCATGAATTGATTATGGTTATTAATATATCACATTGTTCACATTCAGGTATAATGGTAGTTGCTATGGGAGTAGTTTGTGTTGTTGTCTGTGTCGCCTCTGTTATGGTCGTAGTAGCAATAATCGTAGTTGGAGTTGTCGTCGGGGTAGTAGTTGTTGTTGTCGTAGGAGCGGTCGTCGTTGTTGTCGTCGGAACAGTCGTTGTTGTCGTTGGAGGGGTCGTTGTTGTAGTTGGAGCGGTCGTAGTTGTGGTCGGAACAGTTGTTGTTGTAGTTGGAGCGGTCGTTGTTGTCGTTGTCGTCGGAGGGTTCGTTATTGTAGTTGAAGCGGTCGTACTTGTCGCCGGAACAGTTGTTGTTGTCGTTGGAGGAGTCGTTGTTGTAGTTGGAGCGATCGTTGTTGTTGTTGTCGTCGTCGTTTCTGGAATGGTCGTTGCAACAGTGGTAGTGGTTGTTGGAATTGGAATTATTATAGGTCTTTGAGTGGTAGTAGTTGTTGGAATTGGAATTATTATAGGTCTTTGAGTGGTAGTAGAAGGTGGTCGTATTATCTGTCTTTCTCCAATAATTTGATTAGATCTTTCCAATAGTAAACACTTGTCTATTTTCCAATTATACTGAAAAACAAATTTATTTCGATAGTTTCGAATTTAGCATTTTACCTCTTTTTTCTCTTATTTTTATATCTTGATCTGCGATTTCAAGGAACGAAATACACGAGTATAAAAATTAATGTTGATGCTAAATATATTGATATCATAATTCTTATGTGTAGAGCAATCAAAATTGAAAGAAATAATCTGTAATATCAAGCTACTCTCAGTAAACACACTCTTAACATATCTGAACGGGTTTGTTCAAATATAAATTCTAAATATAACTGAAGTATTCAAAATATAAAAACATTCTTATATAAAAAATAAAGAAGACATTAAACTATCTGAAAAAGTTCGGAACAATTGGAAAATTTCTGGAACGATCGCTCTATCTGGCCAAAACAGAGAAGAATGGACAGCAGGTATCATGGTTATCACCCAGTATTAAGAAGTACAAAAATTATTTTAACTCTTTGTGCCCCGTAAGCACGAAGAGGACCCTTTATCCATATCTATCGTGGGTTTGTTCAGACTAAAAAGGAAGCGGTCGAAAGCTAACAATGAGCCCTGGGAAATCTGCCTTGGTTGCTGTCCGTGTTGATTCACTAATATGGTAACAGAGTTGGGCATTAGTTGACTAAATTTTCAATCATGACTAAAATAAACTGAGTAATTAGTCTTATTTCGTTCGTCCATTATCTATCTGTCTGTCTGCAGACGGCCAACGGATGACAGTGGAAACATACAGGTCTTCAATTTGAAAACTGCAGCCCAATATAACTTACGTATAATTAACATGCTAACTGTTATAGATAATTTCTATAAATTATAGTTAAACCTGTCTATAACGGAACCTGTATATAGCGGAAACTGTCTACTTCGGAAGACGGATTTTTACTAGACAGATTTGACTGTATATTGAAAAGTGAGCAAATGAAGTCAAATTAGGAACAATCCATTTTGCAAAAATAGAAACAACATATATTAACCCTTTTTAAACCATTATGAAGTGGTGTAATTTGTATTTAAATTTGTTAATTATAATTTATCAGTCGTATACATGAGATATACGACACTTAAATCTCTGCATATAAGTGTGTTGTTTCGGGTGCTCTACTAAATATAGTTAGTTTTATATTTAATGTTAACGTTTTTGAAATGTTCTGTGCTAAGATCACACAACAAGATAAAACAAAATGACATGAAACTTCAGGAAAAATAAATAGTTATAATCTTTTCAAATTGGGGTGGAGACATATTCCTGCTTTAAGTTTAATTAAGGTAAACAAGATTATCAAAGCATGACACATTTTATAATGCCAACGGGAGCATACTAAGTAGGTCATGTTCCGTAGTAGTATAGTTTGATTGATGAAATAAAGATAAAGGCAACGCCACACATGGGCGTTCTGCAAATAGAAATACACCCGTGTCTACTTATATTAACCTGCTTATAATGAATTCTCGGCATTAACGAATCAATTTTAAAAATACAAATGAATCACCCATAAGAGCAACGTTATTTTTCGGGCTACAACGAAACCGTACATAAAGAACAATATTTGGATTTAAAAAAATACTAATAATAAAAAAATTTATATATTTACAATTAATAATTTTATAAATTAATGATAAATATATCCAGCAGATCCCCGTCTTACGACCTAATTAATCTTTGAATAATTGCCGTTATGCAAATCGTCCCTTATTCTATAAGTTTAGTGTTATAAACAGAAGTTATGTTCCTGTAAAGAAATTTTACTTACGTAATTTAAATATTGTTTTCTAACAAAAACGTATAGATGTTAAATATACCATTTTACATGCTCAAAATATAAATAACATGAAACAGAATGGAAGAATAAAAAAAAAAAACTTGGTCGTAAAGCGGGGGTCCACTGTATTTAATAGTAATGAATATAAAAATGCATGAGTTTTATTACGTGAATTTCGAACGTTATTTAAAATTCTATAGATAAATTATTTATTTATATAATTTATAAAAAAATAAAAGTAACTTACTGTATTTATACTTTTCAATGTGGAGATGAATGATTCAATCTTTGTTTGTAAACTGTTATCATTATTATTCTCTAATTCATTAAGAATTTGATTCCATATAATACCACTGAGAAATAAATTTCCTACTTCTGGCTCATCATCTCCGTATACACACAAACATATTCCTTTTAAAAAATATAAAATTTTCATTTTAAATCGACACTTTAACAATGAAAATATCGAAAGTTTTTTTTTAAATTTATATTAAAACAATTTATAACACCGATCAGTGTAATTAAAACATAAAAATATTGTTTGGTTTTGATTTGAATTAAATATAATCAGTGGTCAAACAATTATATTTACTTTGAAAAACAAGGAAAAAGGAAAGTTGGATTGATAGAATAATGGAAACTCATGGATAGGTTAATGGCAACTCATCTGTGATAGTTGGATGCCTGCAAAGAGGACCTTCTTTAGGTGTACTACATGCAAAAATACCCTGTGAAACTCCAGTGTTTGATCACTTCGTGAGGCGCGAACCTGCGACAGCTTATTAGTGTTCAGTGGTTTTATTCACTCGCCCACTATTAGTTGTGAATATAAGAAAATAAAGAGAAATAGTAAATTTGGGACAACTAATATAGAATAAACTTCAAAAATAAGTGTGGGGAAAGGGAAGATAAACCAAACCTGAATTATTTTTATATTATTTTGTGTTTAGGTTGATGAGAACAATGAAAACACAGCACGAATGATCTGCTTTCCGGGAGAACTTTCTATAGAAAACTGCTCCTTTTGAATGTTAGACGGGTGAAGAAAATCCATAAAACTGCACCAACTAGTAGTTTTATC